GTCACCCGCGGAGATCGATGGGTCCCGACGGTGGTTAGAGGACTAGGCCGACGCAGTACCTACGAATCACGAACGTGTCAGATCAACCAATAACGCTGCAACGCGACACCTGTATTGGAATCTGGTTAGCGGGAGATCACGTACCGCGGACCCCGGGATACGTCTGAGTCGGATAACGAAGAAAAGCAGAATGGCAGAACCTGGCGTTCCAAGCCACCACCGATAGAGGACTCGGACAAAGTCGTGGTGGAACCGTTGATCGACAGACCACAGTACGCCGCACCAACAGAGGTCTTGAAGCAAGATCCAAAACCGCGGAAGCTGATGTCAGTCCCACCATCACCCAGCGTGGAGACGAAGATCGAAGACCCGGCGTCAGACCACTAAAGCTTGAATCGGAGGACGCAGATCACGTTGCTACGGAAGACACGGAGGTAGATCAGGGATAGATCGAGCCGAGAGACCAGGCAGGCGAACCAGATCGTAAGATCGGACCAGCGGAAGTGCTGGTCAAGCAAGACAAAGAGGCCGACGACGGCATGGATGATGCGGTCCGCTACCACGAAGGTGGAGACATCTTCCCGGAAGACATCGAGAACCACATGGCAGTGTTGGCGGAAGTCGAGACCACCACGAGAGAAGTCACGATAAACGATATACGGGTGGAGGATCCAGATGCGCCGCAGGAAGATTGCGAACGGTTGCGTCACATCATATAGAAGTGGCGTCACACCTTGATCGGAGTTGGACACGCACTGCCCCCCTGCCCATGGGGCGATCTACGTTATTGGTGTCGGAAACGCGGAACCTGTGGTCCAACGCTGCCGAAGAGTAGCCCCACAGTTCCGTGAGAAGTTATCCATCCTCTTCAAGGGACTGTTGTCGGCAACGATCTTCCCTTCATCAACATCACCCTGGGCGTCACCAATAGTGGTCACTATCAAGGCAATCGGCGTGGATATCCGCCTCTGCATCGATTACCAAGAGGTAAACAGCTTGACGAGGTTGATGGTGTACCCGATGCCGTTGATCAATGATCTCCTCGAAGGCTTTGAGAAGGTGCTTTGGTACTACTCCCTCGATATGGCGTGTGGATTCTGGGCCATGTTCATGACGCCGCGGGCGAGACTGATCTCAGCATTCATCGCCATTCGGTTTATTCGAGTGGACAAGGATGCCGTTCGGTCTGAAGAACCCTCCGCCGATCTACCAGCGGATCGTAGACAACGCCCTATATGGACACATGCGCATAAAGCCCGGCGAAGACAAGATAGTAGATGTGTTCGAGGAAGGGGAGCCAGAGCCAGAACCCAAGCCGTCGATCTTGGGACGGCGATTGTACGTCGACGACATTCTCGTGGGACAGCATGTGTAACAAGGTCAAAAAGCTGCTAGATGTATGTGATCATTGGAACCTGTCGATCAGTGTAACTAAAGCTACTGGCGTAGGCGCAAAGTGACCTACCTGAACCACCAAGTGTCGATAGACGGGTTAGAGGCGAAGCCGAAAGGCCTCGAAGCCTTCTCGAATCTCCCGTTCCCCACCAAGCTGAAGTCAATGCAGTCGCTCCTCGGAAGCCTGAATTATTACAGCCGCTTCACCGAGGACTTTGCTGTCTATGCAGCGATCTTGTATGAACTTTGGGAAGTATATTGCTACCAGCTCGCACGGTTGAAGTTGACTGGAAAGCCGGAGGAAGGAACAGCACCAGCGGATGAGGAACGCGATCGCGGGACACGAGCAATGAATGCGTTCACCATACGCAAAGCGAAGACCATCTCCACCCCGATCTTAAAGCACTTCCATCCGGGTCATAGTCCTCTATGCTAACAAGTGGGCGATCTCGGCAGTATTAATGCAGGAACACGGCGGCGTGTATTGGTCAGTGACCTTCACCAATCGGACGCTGAAGGCCAACGAGTTGAACTATGGCATCGTAGATAAGGAGATCCTGGCTCTTCTTCGCATATTAGACGTCTGCTACTCGCAGCTGGTCACCAGATCGATCAAGGTGCTATCGCGTTTCTCCACGCTAGCCTGGCTCCTGAAGTCGAATGGGCTAGACGGGCATTTGGGCAGGTGGGCCGCATTGTTGTCTGGATGGACGCCGGAAATTATAAAGTGGTCCAAAGGGAAGAAGAAATCCTAGGGGCGATCGAGATGAGCATCACTCCTTGAGCGGAAGTTGACGAAGCCCTAATCGCTATAGCCCCGAAGAAGCAACCCCGGAAAATGATCACCATGAGTCCTCCAACCGTAGAGCTGGACGAGAATTTATTGGTGACGTGCTTTGACGGATCGGCACGGGTGAAGCGTGCGGGAGGCGCATACAGCGCGATCATCGGGAAACTCCCCGAGTGGACGATCCTCGAAGCGAGGTCTGAACACATGCCGGACTTGACATTGAACGAGGCAAAGTACGGAGGATTGCTACCGTGTTTCGATATCCTCTCGACTTAAGCCAGGGGGCGAGTCGTGATCTGCGGTGACCCTAACTTTGAGATCCGCCAGATGAGAGGCGAGATCGACAGCAAGGCGCCAGGCCTGCAACTGTTACACCATAAGTCGTTGAACCAACTGCGATCTTGGCCGAAGAACGAATTCCTCCACGTAACACAAGATTGTAACCAAAGTGACGACAAGATCGCTAGTGCTGCATTGCAGCGGGAAGAAGGCGAGATCATGACAGCAGAAAAAGAACGGCAGGACCTGATCACGCTGAACAGATTGCACGAAATACTGCAACCAAGGTCGGCCAGATCAATGACACAACGTGAACGCGATCACTCGATCTGCGGTAAATCAGACGCCACCACCGGTGGTGATGGATGAATCCGTTGTGCGACGTATACGGAGTCAGTGGATCAAACAGGCACAAGACGACGAGAAGTGGATCGTAGACCTAAAGACGTACCTGAACGGCGACCTGAGCGATCTGCTGAAGGAGGAAGCGAAGACGTGCTCGAAGATCGCTACGATGTATGAAGTCGACGAAGACGGACTGTTTTTTTATTGCCTGAGGACCCGACACGAGACGAAGATCGCGACGACGTCGTCAGACTGGTGGTGCCGGAAAGCTTGCAACAGGATTTCCTCCATCATTACCACACGAGCCTGGAAGGAGGCACCAGGGTGTCGGGAGGACATACCGTGAAATCTGGACGCGCTTTCACTGGTATAACCTGTATCGAAGTGTCCAGCGCTACGTAGGAGAGTGCACAGATTGTGAGACGGGGAAAGGGAAACTCACCGATCAAGGAAAATCGCCGGGGAATGTGCAAGGCACGTACCCGTTCCAGGTCATATCCATGGACTACATTCCGCCGCTACCGAAGTCCTTTAAGGGGAACACGGAGTTACTGATCTAGGCTGATCTATTCACTGGATACGTGGTCGCCAAAGCTGGATCATCGCGGGGAGCCCAGGCTGTGGCGGAAAACTACGAAGGATATGTCTTAAGACGGTTTGGGGCAAGCGAAGGTTTCATACATGATCGGGAGTCAGGATTCATGGCAGATTTCTTCCGCTCATTAAATCAGATCGTGAACATGAAACAAAGACTATCCATGGCCTACCGCCCACCATATAATGGAAAGCAGAGCGAACAGTGAAAACGCTAACGAGAGTGCTGAAGCTGTATGTCACCGATGTCAACCAACAGGACTGGGACGACTACGCCGAACGCCTGACGTTCGCTCTCAACACGGCGCAAGATCGAGTGTGTGGAGACACATCCTTGTATCTGGTGCATGGATGGGATGCAAGATGAATGTTGGAAGCGACGCTCCCGGTCGGATCCACAAGGCGGAAAGACGGCGACGCCGGCCGGTGGAGATATCGTCTGCAATCGCAATATCAACGGGCGAGAGAAGCGGTGAATAGCGATCTCCAAAAGGCGATAGAAACTAGAGATGCTCAACACAATGATCGAGTTAGGCCCCACAAGATCGAGCAAGGATCGCAAGTATGTCTCTACCTGGACCGGGTGAAGGAAGGGTTCGTGAGGAAACTGGCCCACATGTGGTACGGCCCTTTTCGTGTGACCGAGCTCATCGGTGATCATGTAGCACGTGTGGAGACTAGTGGAACAGAATATCGCATCTTCCCTGTGGTACACCAGTCGAAGTTGAAGCTGGTGAAAGCGTTCCCCCACCGTCCCACTTGCACCCTGCTGGTCGACTAAGCAGATCGATCCGACTTCAATGAGGCTCTACTCCCGGAGGATAGCTCGGAGACTCCTTTGGGTGAGGACGAATTCGAGGTGGAACGGATTGCCGATGTAAGATCTGGATGCCGCACGCGATATGGACGCGTTCACCGAGAGTTACAGGTGTTTTGGAAAGGCTATCGCGAGCCCACATGGGTGGACGAGGCCGATCTTAACTGCGGGGCGCTCTTGGCTGAATTCGAGCAAACCTGAACGAACCGTAGTCATTTCAACGTCATGCAGCCGCACGAAGAGGCGTCGGACAACTTGTAACGGAGAGACGGTGCAGGCGGAAGGAAGAAGAGTGTACATGATGGGTGCACTTTGGGTGGAGGGTATACGATAAATGTTTAACAGTCATGTTGAATTAGCTAGCAGAGCCCAATGGAGTCTCGCTACGAGAGGGTGGATCAAGAAAGAAGGAATAGATCTGATCAAACCACTGAACTCAGAGATCGCCCGGGGAACGAACTTGCCAGGTAAACAGGGAAGCTGCGATCCAGGGTGGTACTGAATCTGAGCGCGATACTGATTGCGCCAGGGTTCCGCAGCGTCTACCTCGCGAAGCGCGTAAAACAGGTTGGTAGGTTGCGTGTCGCAGCTCAACCCGGGATACCACACGGAAGTCTCATCGCGCCAGGGAAAGTGCAAGAAATACGGATCCAGAAATATGTCCAAGTCGCACATTCCAGCCTCGATGCAGCGCAACACGCACGGCAGAAACTTTTTCCACGCAGCCCCCAGTCGAGAGCGCCGCTGCTTACGTCCTTGGTACAAGGTAGCAAAATAAGCGTCCTCAGACTTTCAGGAATGGGGAAGGAGTGAGAAGCCTCCCACAACGCCTGCAGATGCTTGGCCTTCAACTCGGTCCACCGGTGCGACATAACTCGGAGAAGTGCGTCGAAAGGCCCATCGACTGCGAAAGAGACAGGTTGCACCGTAACAGCTAACACACGCCACGGCACCGAGGCGTACACGGCGGAGACGTTGCCCTCGTCGATCAGCTCCTCACTCCATATGTGAGGAGCAGGGGAGCTATCCTTCGCACCACTTGGCGAAGTACCCACCTCAAGGGGTTGGTCCACCGTCGATCCACCAGATTCACGCGACAAACCAGAGTTACGTCGGTGCTCGGACCGAGAGCGCGTCAAAGCCGTCATCACCGGGTCATCGTCGCTCGAGGACGAGCGAGGGTTGGAGGGGGAGCGCCGCCAACCCCCGCCGCGAAGACATCGCCGAGGAGGTGAAGGCGCGCTCCCGGTGGAGTGACCACCGGCCGAGTTGCGGCGAGCCGGAGATGGTTTGTTGGTGGGAGTCTCAGCACCTCGATCAGGCAAACGGCAGGAAGAGGAGTTTCCAGGCACTGGAAGCGAAGTGTCCGCAGGACCAGAAGATCGTGCACGAACCTTAGCTCCACCAGACTCGGCTGACGCGGGACGAGGAGAAGAGCACCGGGACTTGGAGTGAGCGGGAGAAGACTCAGGAGGTTGGGCCAGGCGGTGCTTGCGACCCGAGGTCGGGACGGGGCTGAGCCAGAGGCTTGAGAGACGTGACGCACTTTTGACACGAAACCGGCGACCTGGGCACGCAACGCATCGTAGTCGCGGGTGACTTGATCGCGCTGCCCATCGGCAATACACCGAGCAGACTCGGAATCGGCGTGCGCGCGACGCAGCGACGCGAGCTCTCTGGTGGCAACCGTAGAACGTGTCTTCAACTCACCGATCTGACGCTGCAACGCCTCGAACTCAGTGTGATGGTCAGTGACACGCTGCTCAAGGCGTGCGATGGTGGAACGAGCGGACGAGATGTGAGTTTCCGGAAGCACCGACAAGATTAGTGAGGCAGATAAATCAACCCCCAGCACAAGACTCCCCTGAAGCCTGGAGGTTGGCGATAGCCTGGTCCCGGGTTCGGTTGGCATAACGTAACTCGGACGTCAAGCGAGGGACGCCAGCGTTGGCAGCGGCAGCATCATCGCTGAAGCGATCACGATCGGCCATAGCTTGGTCAAGTCGAGCCTGAGCACGGGCGAGCTTTTTTCTCGAAGGCGGAGATGTGCTGCTGATGCTGGCTGACAGAATCTTCTAGCACCTTCTGAGCTACCGCGTGGGCCAAAACCGTGGCACTGGCGCTGTCGAGAGCCAAATCGCGGGCAGCCACGATGTCTTTGGTAAGCTGCAGGTCCGCCTGGAGGTTGTCATGGGCCTGTCGTGCGCTTGCCAGTCCACGCTGCAGCGTCGCACAGCCGCCTCGAAGATGGAGGAGCTTGAGCGACGAGTGCAGAGGCCAGTCGAGACGTCAAATCGTCGATCTCACGGTCGAGGCGACGTCGATCCTCGGTGTTATCTACCAGCGCGCGTGGGAGGCTCCGACGAGCAGTCTCCAGCTCGATAGCGTTGTCTCGACGGTCTTGCAATGCATCCAGAGCGTCGCCAAGAGACTCGCGAAGTTGCTTGAGCTGCGCCAGGGCAAGCCCATACTTGGGCTCCGCGAATTCCACGAACAGGCGAGCCGCAGCCCAGTCTTCGCTGACCTCCTGCTCCAACGCACGAATCCGAGCCTGCTGGTCCTGATGGAGCGCCTGCAGAGAACAATGGTCGTCCTCAAGCAACGGTAGGGCCTCCGCACGCTGGAGCGATAGCGCAAGCGCATCCAGCGCTCCGTGCACGGCGGTGGCATCAAATGCTGGCACAGCAACTGATACCGTAGGAGGCACAGCGGAACCAACAGGACGGGGAGCTGCAAATAAGAAGAACACCAGTAGTCAGCAGGCGATCTACGCAGCACGAAGAAAGGAGAGAAGATAGGAGTACGCACCGGGTGCTGCGGTTGAAGAAGGCGTCGCAGTTGGATGATACCACGGCTGGGGAGCGCCAGGATTCCTGCCCGAAGGAGAGCGATCGGTGGGAGCACGAGAAGACATGATCGGCGATCGAAGTTTCCGAGTGTGAGATCAGGCAGTTAGGGTTCCGCGTACAAAGAGACCGCTACACGGCCCCGTTGAACGCCCGGGCGGCTATGGTGAAGCGAGATCAGGGAAATGGCGATTGATGGGTCTTGATCGACGACTGAGACATGACTTCAGGGATCTACTGCAACATGTCCCACGGCGGGTCAATCTGATGTGAACACACAAAGCTGACCAGCGGTACCGACCTCGATCTACCAGTTCGATCTAGATCAAAGATCGGAGGTCGAAGATCGAAGATCGGAAGACCGAGATGAACATCACAAATCGAAGATCACAAAATCGAGGATCATGGATCGAGGATCGAAATCTGGGGAAGGACCTAAGATCGACGGTCACGAAACGGAGATCGAAAGTCGAAAGTCGAAGATCGCCAAGGGGGGTACCCAGTTCCATCTACAGGACAAGTGTGGCTGGTATGGGTACAAGGGACCGTGATTACGGCACACGTAGATACGATTTAGGAATGAGTGGTTGTGCCGATAGACTAGGGAAGGATAGGCAGACTTCAAAATATTCTTTGGACCCCTCACATTGGACTCCTTCTCTTCTTAAGCCACGTGACACGCCATACCAATCAGGGAACGTACATTGGCCCTCCTGACGACCAAGGAGACACTAGAGCTCACGATAGGAAGACGCCGAGAGCCCCTAGATCGCTTGGCTATCGCCAACCCCCACCCCCAAGATCCCGCTATCGTAAGCGGCAAGCAACGGAAAGGAAAACAACCACACACAAGGACACGTGGATCGATTACTCGATCTACACCCCACTTCCGATGCCGCGTGAAGACCGTCCATACGGTCCCCAAGATCGACAACCAAGGCATCCTCAAGTCACCGGAAGAGTGCAACCCCGCTTCACCGATGGGTACACAAGGTGAGAAGAACCTCAGCGTCAGCGGGCATTCGGAGT